GATTTTTCACTCAGTTCTCATAAGAATAGAAGCATTTTTCAAATTTGAAAAAATACTGAATCTCATTTATGTAGAATGTACTTGTACGGGCTTGTCACAATGACTGACTCAGAGATGTGGTGCATCTCTGTATATATACGTATATCTATAGCTTCTATAGATGTACATGCATGTATATATGTGTGTGCGTGCATATATATATTTATATGTAGCTGCTTTCTTTTTTCTTTTGTGAGCAGGGAGTGAGAGGGAGTTGTGGGTGGTACTGGAGTAATTTTCATCTCTGTAATCAAGCTCAATAGTTTTTGACTTTTCTTAAAATTTAGTTACAATACTCCTTGACTTACTCCAAGCTGGTAATGACGATGAGAAGCTCACGTAATTTCTCGTTTGTTGTACTTCATAACCTTGTCAGGGCCCTTCCCTTGTGCACACTCACTGCATGTGGTGAATCCTGAAAGTGCTGGTTTCCTGCACCTGGGCAGAATACTGCAGCACATGCTTCCTAGGAATGCTGAATTTATCACCTCTGTCATGCAGAGCACGTGAAGTGCCTATTTCCGTATGGTAGATCCATGCTCCCTACTGCATCTGAAGGTAGAAACATCTGGCAGCAGATGGGCACCACCAGAACAACTTGTGCAACCTAAGCTTGCCATCTTGCAGAAGTGTTTGGCAGCAGTAGGCGAGAAGCCTCTCATTGGGATTAATTCTTCTGGATGGAGCCTGCTTGTAGCTCCCTCCTTTCCAAAGGTCCTTCCCTCCTCCTGTCACTACATGTGCCTTCACTGCACTGTCCATCCTGTGTTTGGGACAGATGACAGGGAGGGGCCAGGGCAGGATGGTGACCAAATGTGGGCCATTGCTGGGAGAATTATTAAGGGAGTTTGCTGCTTGCTTGTGCCTGAGAAGCTCTTGAACATGGGGTGACTGGAAGGAGGGTGCTCACAAGATGAAATCATCTGACAGGGTTTGTAGTAACCTGTGGACTGTTGGCTAGATATCCTTGTTTTTAACAGGAGTCTTTTCCTCTATGCAAGTTTATGCAAAATTGTCCTTTTCTGGCAATGATTCCTTGCTGCACCCTTTGCTCTACTGTTTCCTGCCTGATTTCTTTTTCTCTCATATTCGGCCTTTTTCCTGGTTTTTGGATTACTGCTGGATTTTTTGGTTCAGTTGATACTTGTCTCTATTTTCAGTCTGATGTGTATCTTTTTATTTTTTCATCCTAATGTTTTCAGTTTTTATAGCTCTTTTCTGTTGCATCAAAAGTTAACAGTTTGATTAAGTTCCAACTGTTGTAGCATATGTAGTCTGGCTTCATTATCTCCTGTTGCCTTAAACTGTAATCTCTTTTTAAAAAATTACCAACAAGCATGCCAAATGTGCATGAGAGGTTGAATTCTGTAGATGTGTGGGCGTTACTTTGATTTTGATACACTAAAAATCCCCCCTTCGTGTTTAGGGGTTAGCAAATGGGATTTGTGTTGCTGGGTGGTGATACCCACAGGTTGGGTGCCTCTGTGCCTTGTCACCCTCACCTCCCCTGAGATGCAGCGGATTCTACCTGGTGTAATCATGAACAGGTTTAGGCAGGAGTTACCTCGCAGTGCAAACGTGCTCTGCACAGATGAATTACGTTGTCAACTCCACTGAATATTGGCTATGTATATGCAAGTATGTATAGCACACACAGACTGTTCAGTGTAAAGGGAGCAACTGGCTGGCTGTGACTACGTGGGCTATGCATGTAAAGCTAGGTGAGATGAATCGTACCCAACTATTAAAAATGTTAGCTAAAACTTTCTGTCAATTCTCTATTAGGTGCAGACAATGCAGGAGGCAGTCTTTGCCTGCTGTCCCTTGCTCAAGGACATAGCATGTCCCTCACAAATCCTTTGTATGTAAAGAGACTGAAAAAGAGCAGAAGGTAGATGAGCTGAACTCATGCTATGGTTTTGAAGTAGTATGGCGAAAAGCAATTGAATAACTGCTTAAAAGAAGAAGAATGAAAATGGAAAGATCTTTGTACAGGTCTTCCCTCTGACCCTCCTCTTTTAAATCCAGATGGGTTCATTGACATAATTTATAGCACAGACCAGAATGACTTGCAGTGAGCAAAACTGAATTTGGAAAGGAATCTCTCGGGCTAGCCTTACTTCTACAAGGAGTGCTTTATGTGAAACAAGTCTATGGGTAGAGCACAGACACTGGCTGAGAACTAGTTCCTAACACACAGAAAAAACATCTGAGATTTTCCAGGCTCAAAGAATATAATAAACTCCAGAAAATGTTAAGAGATGTGTGACAAGGATGATCAAAGATAAGGACATGAAAATATTTCTGTGCAAGCCATAACGGCACAGAATAGGATTCTTCTGCCTGAGAGATGCCAAGTGGAGAATATGGTGGAAACATGGCAAATGGAAATAGGTGCTGGAGGTTTGTGTTCTCTTCTTCCTTAAGAATTAGGTAGCATCAGATAGAACTAGCTATTGGCAAGTTTAAAACAAAAGTTGTGCTTTTTTGCAGTGAGTATTTAACCCTTCAGACACACTGCTACAAGGTGGTGTAGATGGTAACATTTTCTGGTTCACAGACACATTCATGAAACGAAATATAACGTCTGTTGAACCATATTCACACTCAGGAAGCTTCTGAGCTGCAAATTAAGAGTCTGGGAGAGTAACTGGGAAGTATTGGTATATTCTTGCCCTATTACCTTTTTCCCTACATGAAGCCCTGTGGGGTGGGAGAACCTGTGGTCTGACCCAGCACAGCTGCTGTTTTTTTCAGTGAAAGAATTAGCTGCTGGCAATTGGATGTTGCTCTGATATCTACACTAATAAAGCTGTTCAAACAAATGTTTTAAGTTGTCAGTACAGCAGCAGGCTGGTCATGAAGCTTTGTCAATATTTGTTTTAGTAAATAATTTTTTACATTTGGTTAAGTTTGGTTTTATATGTTGTGGTGAATTCTATGAATGATTGATACTGATGGGAAGAGGGCTAAATTTGTGATGAAAAAATAGCGAAGTATTCTGGATAGTCAGTTTTGTGCTACTGCTTTATGTTTTCTCAACAAGATTAATTTAAGGCCAAGACTTTCTTTTTGATTTCTTCTAAGTAGCAGATGGGCAGTGTTTTGTAAGATTTCTTCTCCTACTGTGCATGCAAGTGTATTTGTAGACAAAACCTCTAAAAACTTATTTTTTTGGCAATTTGAATGTGTAGAAATTCATGCTGGTTGTTGAATAACATGAGAATGCTGATATTCTCATCCTGACTTGGGTTAGGAACAAGTATAGTGACCTGTGTTAAAGATGGAGCGTGTTGGCTCATTTCACAGAGGCTGTTGTTCCTAGTATGTACAAAACTGTTTTCTCACTGTTTCCCTCTTCCAAACACTTGCTGAGGTCCTGCTAGCAATCAGGGGAGATTTCACATGGATAAGATGGGAACTGCAGAGGGATGTTTCAGAACCTATCCTTATGTCTGACAGTTCAGAAAGAGGCAATTTTTTTCCAAGAGGTTGAGTAATTTGAATTCTGACCTTCCCATTCATTCTTTTTCCAGCTTGGTTGAGAAGCTGATTGAGGGGGATTAATATTTTTAATTTTATAGAAATGCATTATAAACCTGAACTCCCCAAAATAAAACAATCCATTTACAAGGTGTGCTCCAGTAGTATAGTCAGGCTAATCAAGCTTCTCTTAACGAATACCATCACATACATGGAATAGTAAAGATTTTTTTTATCCTAGTAAAATAAGTAAAATATATTATTTGGTTACATTAAATATGTACAATTCATTACCTTTATTGTGTACATAATTAAGGAGGTCCAAACAGAGAGGTTTAGTAATACTGTACGTTAGTGACGTGGAAGGAGGTCATACTTGTATTCCTTAAGCCTGAATCGGACTGAAGAGGGACCTCATCAAACCCTCTTGCTCTTCTAGAACAGTTCTTAAAGCATTTCCACAGTTACTTTGTTTGCTTTGTCCTCATTGCTCCATTGTACTTACATCAGGAGTTTTAAAAGTCCTGGGTCCCCACGCGCTGACGGGGTTCGATAGTCAGAATATGTCTGTATGGGAAGCAGCTACAGGCTTTGCCATTTGCTGTGTGGCTCCGTGTTCCTTTTGGCTGATGTATGTCTGCCATTAACTCTTTCCAGTGCTGTGACGTGATTGCACTTTTGTGTTGACTGGCAAAATTCACTTAGTGCCATTTCTCATCAAGCCACTGAAGCATTACTGTGTCGCCAGAGATTAATACATGACAAATGACAAACCTTGACACCTGTTTGCTTTCTGTCCTTCTCCCTGCTATCCTTCATAATAATCACTGCATGCTACGCCTGCTTATCAGTGATTATAAAAATATATCCTGGCTATATATAGTTCTGAGTGCAGATTGAAACTGACTCCACTTCATATACAGTGATTCAGGTGAATTATTGACTCCCAAACACTGTAAGACCAATCTCTGTATGTTTTATATTCACAAAATAGTCTTAATTGCATTCTGTCTTCCTGAACAGCGTTTATGAATGATTGATGTACTGCTTAGACCTTTAGAAATACTGAGATGTGCATTATGTGTTGTAAATTCAGTTTTTATCCCCAAATGTTTCTACTCATTAGTTTTCTGGGAGTGCATGTTGGTCATTCTGTATGGAATTACAGTATTTGTTTTTTCAACACAAATGTGAAACTGTATAAATACTGCGGGTTTTGAGAAATTAAAGTGATTTGAATTTGAATCTGTGTTTATACGATTACAATACCAGAAAACAATGCATATTGCTCTGTTCTCTAACAATATTTGTTCTGTCTCCACCTTAAGAGAAGGTGTATAGATTTCCGCATTTGCACACACATAAAGTTATGCAAAATAAATTCTCAGTTATAAAATTATATTCTGAAAAGAATAGTGATTGTCTTTAATAAAACACTTTTTAAGAGTGTCTGATAAGTATTCTTTTTTTCTTGACAGTCTGTGGTGGACGACTGGATTGAATCATATAAACAAGACAGGGACATAGCACTTCTGGATTTAATCAACTTCTTTATCCAGTGTTCAGGATGTCGAGGTACAGAACGTTGGATACAAGTTGTATAGAATAAATCTGACAGTCATACAAACGTGCGTTAGTGCAAATGCTGGTAAAGATGTGGGAGGCACGTGGATTGGTACTCCTCATATGCATGGTTGATATAGAAATATTGTCTGCATTCAGGAATAATTTTATTTAAAGCTTATTTGTCAAGGGCATACCCTTTCTTTTACTCACTTTCCTGCCATCATCCTAAAGTGTACAAATCCTCCCAGAGATACTCTACTCGTCAGCAAAAGGAGACCAAAGATCTGTTAATCAAGGTAGGCGTATCTTTACTTCCCCTTTCTCTTTCTTCCCAAATATTTTCTAATTATGAGAATTAGTAGGTGTAGCTATACTTCAACTGCTTTTTTATTCCTGTCTCTCTAGGAAAACAAGATTTTTTTCATCTGAAGAGGAGGGAGTCAAGCTTCAGTTGCCTTCAATTAGCAAGAGAAGTTTTTTTTGGATAAAGCACCAATTTTACTTCTTCCTTTGTAATACTTGTATCAAGTCAGCAGCGTGGACAGTCTTTTATACCCTATTTAATCAGCCTCCATTACCTGGAATAGGACGCTATTTCTAGCATTCCTTTACCGCATTGTGCTTTCTAATGAGTTTTTCATGTGTTGTTTTTTTACAGTTAACCTTGAAAACAGAGAGACAAAACTCTACTCCCTCTGTAGCATGTAGAACCAAACTGTTGTTTGTTTCCTGATGCTTCCTGTAATTTGCTTTGAGTATAATTGAAAATAGCCTATAATTCAAAAATGCTTTTTCCCCATTTTGTAACTGATGTGCAAATACACCATTAGACCATCAAATGATTTGGGTACAAGTCCCTTTTCTTCCTTCTTAACTGTAAGGAGAAGTCCCAAGTAGAGTTAAAAGCATCAGAGAAAAACCTTTTTTTGTAGCTTAAGGAAAGAAATTTATTTTATGGATTATAGGAAAGACTGGAGTTGTGAAAGCATTCTGTGAAAGGGCTAAAGCTTAGGGTTTAGGTTACCAGCCTCTGTCAATGTCTATACTGTTCACACAGATTGCCTAAAATATTTTTCAGACTTGTTTTGCAGCTTGTGTAAAGATGGTTGCATTCTGTTCGCCCTTTTTTAACGCTCTCTTTTAAAGGTGTATATGAAAAAAAAAAAGACATTTCAAGAATTTGGGCAGCATTAAACCAAAGGGGATTCATGGCCATATGTTTTTATTTTTAATGGAAGCTTTTGGTGTAGTCATGTCATAAGTATATCTTCATTCCCTTGCTGTTCTCCTGTAATTTCTACTTCCTTTTTTTCTCCTTGTTGGAGAAAGCAGCACTCTTAAAATCTCAGAGGAATTGTATTTTTTAACTTCTTGTTTCTGGTTGACACAGGCTGAATGCCAGCTGTCAACCATATGCTATTGGAGCCATTGCTTCTCAGAAAAGCTTTCCATTATTGGCACAGCACTTTAAGTGGTTGATGTCATTTACTTTTTTTCTTGGTGGTAGTTTTATGTTTTGTTGTGGTTTTTGTTTGTTTGTTTGTTTCATTTTTTTATAGTGACTTTCTATCTGTTTTCAGTATTCTGTTTTGCACCCACAGGAGTATCTCTCTGCCGAGCTCACGTTAGTGGTCCTCCGATTCTGAACAGCAATGATAGGAAAAAGAAAGCAAAAATGACTTGTCCCTTGACTTTACAGTGTGTTTTGAGGGATTTATTTCTGTGATGGAATTTTTGCAGTGTGTATGGTCGCAGCTGTAAACAGGGTTACAATCCTGGCAAACGGCTCTGTTCTTTCCTGTTCTCAGTTGTGGCTTTTCCCTTTCCCATTCTAGTAAACATGCCTGCTCACTAGAATAAGTAAAAGCTTTTTCAGAAGAGAGTGTATAGCATGAAATGCATAATAAGCTATCCTTAATTAAAATGAGGTATGGAAATTTGGGGATTTCCTCTGTTTTGTGAGGAAGACCAAAGTTTATTTTTCATGGCAAGAATATATGCTCTAATATATCACAGATAAAATTCCTCAGGAAACTGAAAGTGATGCTAGGTTTGATAAATCTAGTGCTATGATAGGGCGTGGAAGCATTTGATATCTAAATCTATGTGAAATGCATTTAGCTTGACATTTCTTGCAACAGTTGTAAAAAGGTGAAGAGGCTGCGCCTGTTTTTGACTTCAATTAGATACTTTAGGCACAAAATTTAATAGCTTTACATAGCAATAGTATTGACCCTGACAAAAATACCCTTATATTTAGAGAAATACAGATCTTTATGCATTTATGCCATTCTACTGGGCAGTGCATACACTTGAATGAACCTCTTAGCATCCTCCAGTTTTTCTTAGAGATTTTCCTGAAATTATAAGTGATCTGTTATAAATATAAATAAGCAGGCATGTTACATAAAGTATTTAAAAATGGAAAATTTATGTATTTTGCAGGCTAATGTACAAGATCTGTGCAACTTTGAATAAATATTAACCAGATATTCAAGCATCTGTCTGTCCTTTGTCAGCTCTTCTGAGTATTTAATTAGTTATTCTCTATGTATTGTGTTCTGGTTCATACAATGACAATTAAAACACCAGAGATTTATTTTTAGCATGACTTCAGTAGTCTTTCTTGTATTCTAAGGTTCATTTAGTATAAATAAGAAGGTTGTACTGTTGAACTACCAAAAGCATCTCTGTTCAATAACTGGATTTGCACTGGGATTAAAATCACTTTTTATACCATCTTTCCACTGGTTTTCCCATTCAGTCGGTGTGTTTGTTGCCTTTACTGATTTTGATTACCAAAAAGAGACAGTTAAAAGAGTTAAATTTTCCTTTATCCTGTATTTTCTATTTTTTTTTCTTTAAGAATACCTGCCTTTCACAGTTTATTGTAGTTTTCTTTGTGATGTGACATGGTGTTTCTGTGAGAGAATGGCTGACAAGGGGTGGTAAACTGAATAAAAATAAATTATGTTTTGTTTGTTTTGTACTATTTTTAAATGCATTGCATTTTCTGAAAGGAAGGAGGATCTTGTATTAGATAGTACCTTAGAAAGATGAAAAAGTTAGTGTTCAGTTTTAAAATAGCTTTTATGTTTGGGAAAAGAGCAAATAAATGCTGTTTACCATCACAGGAAAAAGGTTTGTTTGTTTAGTAGGAGGTATTTATTTTTCAGCGTATTCACAGCCCATAAAGAAGGTGTTGTTGTATTTGCCGCCTTCTTTGTCTGACAGAAAATAAATTTAGGGTTTTGTATTTTTAGTTAACGGGGAACTTTCTTGAATTTAGGCTGTCATAATGATAAACGGATTTTTTAATTAACTTCCACTTGGCTGGAAGGAGAAAGTGTATTCGTACGACTGAGTTTTCAATTTCAAATTTTGTAGCTTGGTCTGTAGCAGTGCGGATACAGGCATCCTCCTCTCTTGCAGACAATTTGCTGATCAGTGTTCAGTTTTCTGTGATTTTTTTGGTGCTCTATTCCATTGCTTTCTTATTTGAAGTTTTTGGTTTTTGTTTTTGTTTTTTCTTGAATACTTGCATAAAGCGCAGTGTAGTGTGCTTAGATCTCTGAGCCAGTTGCAAGCAAGCTGAAATGTCTAATCAGCAATATGCGTGCCCAGGTCCCAGAAGCATTATAACTGTGTCAGTATGATGCTGCATCTGGGCTAATTAGCTGTGCCTCTCAGCCTGAGTAATTAGCTCAGGTATCATGCTCTGCTGCTATGACAACCAGGCTGTTTCCATTTCTGGAACTCTGTGCATTTAGAGCTGCTTTGGGGATCTGCATTACTGTCTGCTTTTGCCTTCTGTTATTGATATAAAACAAACAGAAAACTCCACAAGTACTCTGACCTTTCTGGATTTTAAAGGCTGAGAGCTATGCTTGTGGAATAAATATATTTTTTTTCCTAACCAGAAGCAATTAGTGGTTGAAACAGCCTCTTAAGCTGTGAAGGACAAACCAACCTATCAAGTTCATGTAAGAAAAGAAGCTTTCTTTTGCAGGGGAAAAGGGTCTCTCACATGTTGAAGAGAACTACTTAAGTACTTCAAGTACACAGTGAAATTATTCCCATTCTTTCTCTTGCTTCCCTCTCATTTCTTTTCTGATAGGTAAGCCAGAAACCTGTAACTTCTTAAGAGGATTTGCAGAAGTGGTTTGAGCTCTGCATCTTCTGCTCGCCTTGCCCTGTATTGGACAGCTTTAAGACACTAGTTCCTGGAGAAACAAAATTGGTGAAACTTCCTCACTGTTAAATTCTTAGCCTTATAGCCTTCTCTGGATTTTAAAGGGCTCCCCCTTCGAAAGTTTGTGATATGGCACGCTCAAGTTGATTTTAGGAGTGGTACTGTTGGTCAAGAACATGGGTGGATTTCCTTTATATGAAGATTTTCTCATGTGTCACATTCCACCTCAAGATCTTCACTATTATTTTTTGTTGTTTGTTTGCTTTGTTTTGTTTTGTTTTGAGGAATTAAATGTTAATGAATAAATATTCAAACTGCCATCAGTCAACTATGATTGTTGCTGTTGTTTAGTGTTACTTTTTTAATTGCAAGTAAGCAGGAATCTGTGTAAGAACTTTGTGCACAATATTGAAAGCAGAATGTTTTTTATTAACATTTTCCTTGTGAATCGGGCAGACAGGAATCCACACTCTTTCAGCTTGAGCTTTGAATCTCTAGTTGTTCCTGACACATTCTTGTAAGACGCTCTGAAAAATTCTGTGGTCATATGGTACAGACAGAGTCAACAAGCGCAGGATTTATGAGCTAGCTTGCTTGAACACGAGACACACACTCATTTTGATTTTTATTAATGTTCTATGCCCTTAATTGAGGGCATGGAGCAAGCTAATAGATTTATGTTTTACCTAAGGAAATTGAAGGCTAAAACCAGGAATTAGCGCTGTGAAGTGGCCATTGTATGATTGGCAAAAGAAAAGAACAAACAACTGCTTGCTTTGCTGTTGGGCAGGATTTCAGAAAGCAAATTAGAGAGGAA